TGTCAAAGACTTCATGTTACTTGGTTCTACAAGCAACACCAATGGAAGCAGTGGTCAAGATATCAAACTATGTATAGTATTGAGCAAATCTGATGCAAAAGACCTCTTTCAAGTGCTGAAGAGCAAAGATATCTCCTTGATGACTAAGGTGCACTTCACACAAGCCATGGTATTTTTAATCACCTCATATGCATGTGAGAGCTGGATGATGAATAAAGATGACCAAAGAAGAGTTGATGCTTTTGAGTTGTGGTGTTTGCTGCAAGTACCATGGACTGTTAAAGAACAAATCTGTCCTGGAAGAAGTTCAGCTGGAATGCTCCTTGGAAGCTAGGATGGCCAGACTTCATCTCACCTACTTTGGCCATGTGTAAGAAGGGACCATTCCCTGGAGAAGACATCATGCTTGGTAAAGTGGAGGGTCAGTGAAAAAGGGGAAGGCCCTCAACAAATGGATTGACACTGTGGCTATAACAATAGGCTCAGGTATAGCAAGGATAGTGGGGCTGGCACAGGATCAGGCAGTGTTTTGTTCTGCTATACATAGGGTCACTATGAGTTGGAGACAACTCAATGGCACCTAACAATAACAATTAGGAGGGACTAGTTCCTGGAGAAGGACATAATGCTTGGTAAAGCAAAAAAAAAGACCTTCGACAAGATGGATTCACACAGTGGCTATAACAATGGGCTCAGACATAGCGATGATTGTGAGGCTAGCACAGGAGTGGGCAGTGTTTTTTTCCACTGGTAGATAGGGTCACTATGAGTCAGAACAGATTGCACAGCACCTAACAACAGCCTATAGGTAAATTTCATCTTATTCTTGATGCTCAATTGTAGAGCCATTGCACATAAAATTTCTTCTTAAATGCCTTCACGAATTTCTTTTTATTGTTATCATCAGTAATCCTTTGGGAAGTAGAAGTGGTCTTCCTGTTGTTTCTCTGTTGAATTCTGTAGGTATAATGCTTAGTCTCCACAAGAAGGTTGTCATTCTTACTTGAATCAGCAAAGAGGTCAAAAGAGTGGAAGTTCATGTTATCATTTTTACTTGAATCTTCAAAGACATTAAAATGTCAAGATTCTGATAGTGGATGTAGAAGCTACTCCTCACAGAAACAGTCTTGGGGCAGGGAAGAAGGTGAGCAGAGTTGGGGAATCAGAGAAGCATTGGAGGGAAGCTTTGGAGACAATAGAAGCTCAGGAAATTAAGGGCTTTGACAAATGTTAGTTTTTGTTTATTTCAAACTGGTCATAGCAGTTGTGAAATGTTATCTCATTGCACTTCCCCTGTGATTAATGATGTTGAGCACATATTCATGTGCTTATTGGTCATCCTTTTATTTTCTCAATTGCCAAAACAATGGACTCAAACATACCAATGATCACAAGGATGACATAGGACCAGGCAACATTTCATTTTGTTATAAATTATCATAAGTCAGAGGTGGCTCCATAGCAATTAACATCAATGTATTTTCCCTTCTGAGATGATGATTTAAGTGATTTGTGCATTCATTATTAAAAAAAAAAAAAACTCACTGCCAAGTCGGATCTGACTCATAGCGATCCCTCCTTGGGTTTCTGAGGAGGTATCACTATGGAAGTAGATTGTCCAACCTTCCTTCCGAGGAGTGGCTGGTGGGTTTGAACCACCAGCCTTCTGGTTAGCAGTCAAATGCCTTAGGTACTACCCCACCAGGTTGCTTATTATTATTGACTTATTGAATATATTCTTAATACAGGCCCTTTATTAAGCATGTTTTTTGCATATTTTTATGTTTTATACTCTATATTTTTTAAAATGTCAACAACAGCAGATAAAATAAATTACAGTAGATTACAACATGACATAAGGAGAAAGGAGAGATTATAAAATAACATAACCAATTGAATGGGTAAGGGTTGGAGGACAAAAAGTGAGGGGAAGCGTTAAATTCTGAAACACCGAGTCATATTATTAGTGGGAAGGGTGGCTGCTGTGTGTTAAAAGGTCGTGAACATGTCTGGTGGTGTAGTGGTTAAGAGAGTTGGCTGCTAATCAAAAGGTCAGTGGTTTGAACCCTACAGCTGCTCTGCAGAAGAATGACAGGGCAGTCTGCTTCTATAAAGATTTACAGCCTCAGAAACCCAATGGGGGTTGCTATGAGTTGGAATCGACTTGATGGCAGTGAGGTTTTCGTTTTGTATTTGAACTAAGGCTCAACGTTGGATCCCTTTTAGCCTCAGAGATAGGAAAAATGCCTACTTTTCAATCCAAAAACCCCAGGATGACTGTTAGCATGAACCTCCATTCACACATCTACACACACAGAATAGCAGCAGTAGTTAGATCTTGGCAGTGGGATTATGGTTGACTTTTCTATAAGGCATATATATTATGATTTATTTATATATTTATGGATTATTTTTAAAATATCAAGTTTAAGTGAACACATACCCCAACCCACACTCTTCAAACAAATTGCACCACTCATGTTACAGTTAGAACCTAAAAGTACTGTTTCTCCTAACTCCAAAACCAAAACCAAAACCAAAACCAAACTCACTGCTATCAAGTCAATTCTGACTCAGAACAACCCCCTTTGGGTTTCTGAGGTGGTAAATCTTTATAGAAGTACATTGCCCAGTCTTCCTTCTGCAGAGTGGCTAATGGGTTTGAATCACCAGCCTTCTGGTTAGCAGTCAAATGCCTTAAGCACTACACCACCAGAGTTCCTTGTTTCTCCTAAAGGCAGTCAAATATATTAGATAGGAGAAACAGAATTTTCTATCAAATGGTTATTTAAACATACAGTCTCTGAGATTTCACCACTGGGAAGCATCACCAGGTCATGAAGTTGTACATCAAAAAAAAAGACAGCCTATGACTAACGCTAGCACCAATTAATATATTTTTTGATCATGTTATCAGAAGGGACCAGTCCTTAGAGAAGGAGATCATACTTGGTAAAGTAGTAGGTCAGTGAAAAAGGGGAAAACCCTCAATGAATGGATTGACACAGTGGCTGCGACGATGAGTTTGAGCATAGCAAGGACTGTGAAGATGGCACAGGACCAGGCAGTCTTTCGTTCTGTTGTACAGAGAATCTGAATCTGAATCAATTCAATAGCACCTAACAACTACTTAAAGTGCTCAAGAAAAGAAGTCAATTTCCGGGGATAAATGTCCACAGTATGTATCATGGGACTTTTACAACTTAGTATTTTGTATCAAACATCAATAATACCACTTCCTGTAATGCTAGAATTTAACTTATCTGAGAAGTTACCATTACTGTTAATTTAACACTCATTAACCACCGAGTTGGAGTCCCTGGGTGGTGCAAACTGTTAACATGTTTTCTGCTAACCAAAAGGCTGGTGGTTCAAGTCTACCCAGAGAAGCCTGAGAAGGAATCAGCCATTGAAAACCCTATCTAGGGAGCACAGCTCTACTTGACACACATGGGATTGCAATGAGTTGGAATCAACTTGGGGATTGCAATGAGTTGGAATCAACTTGATGGCAACTGTTTGTTTTCTGTTTTAAACTACTTAGTTAAAATAAACTGAATGAGAGTCTTTTAAATAAAGATAGCTTTTTTGAAAATATAACTTATATTAGAAATATTTAAGCATTTATTATAAATGTTCACATTACACATTTACATATAGAGAAGTAACAATTCTTTACTTTCTTTACAAATAGATACACAGAAAATGGTTAAAGAATTAAACTTTGACTTTATTTAAAAAAAAAAAAAATACAACTCACTGCCATCGAGTTGATTCCAACTCATAGCAACCCCCTTTGCATTTCCAAGGCAGTAAATCTTTACAGAAGTAGATTGCCCAGTCTTCCTTCTGCAGAGTGGTTGGTGGGTTTGAACTGCCAACCTCTGGTTAGCAGTCAAATGCTTTAGGCACTATACCACCAGAGCTCCTTTTGACTTCATGTTGTTGTTGTTATGTGCCATCGAGTTGCACCCAACTCATAGCGACCCCTCCTTGGGTTTCCGAGGCAGTAGCACTACAGAAGTAGATTGCCTAACCTTCCTTCCGAGGAGTGGCTGGTGGGTTTGAACTGCCAGCCTTATGGTTAGCAGTCAAGTGCCTTAGGCGCTACGCCACCAGAGCTCCTTTTGACTTTATAGATGCTGTTAAAAAATATATTTATGGAATTTTAAAATTATTTTTAGTACATAAAATACAAAGTTTTAAAATGTGGAAAGAATACTAAAGAAATAATTCTAAACACAGTGGTTCTTTAAAATATTTAAGTGCTTAAATGTTTTAGATGCTGAATTTATATAAGGAGAACAGTCATCCTGGGAAAAAAAACACTCTATTATTCCACAGAAAGAAAATTGTAAAGAATCTAAATATTATTCCTCAAGTAAGTTTTTCCATATTAAAACCGCAGTGACACACAGCCACTACTCTGGAATGCATTATACTGTGTTCCAGTACTTGGCCACATCAAAAATCAACAGGCTACCAGTAAGAACTTGCTCAGAGTCTTGATCTTGAAAACAAAGGGCTGCTGTGAAATGACATGATCAAACCAAGACACAGTTCCTTACAAAAGCAAAACAAGGCATGATTCCTTACAAAAGCAAAACAAAACAAACACAGAACTATTAATCAAGGATAAGAAAGAAAATAACATAGCCTTGTTTTAAGAACATTATTCCTTCATCACAAGAGATATTTTATACATTAGCCCTCACAGATGTACACTTAAAGTAATTCTTAAAGAAGTACACTTCAAGTAATAGATATTGAAATGCAACACTTAAAGCAATAGATATTGAAAGTAATAAAGTAATTCTTAAAGAAGTATGCTTAAAGTAATAGATATTGAGTAACACAATTTACAGACTTCATATCCTCAATCTGACAGCATAACATTGAGGCTTTACCTACTACACTAATAAACTCTGAATAAGGGGATCATCTGAAAAGTGTCTGCAGGACTCTTCATCCTCCGTGATTCTCTTCTTAGCCCTCTGTATTCATAATTCATTTTCATCCATTTCTGTAGGAGAAGTGCTTTGGGTGGAAGAGGATGAATAGTTGCCATTCTCAGGTATGGGATAATGCTGTGCCCAGATGTTTTCTTGTAATAGTGACCTTGGAGACAAAATAAATTGAGTCTCAAAAACTTCCAATGACTCCCCATCTTCCTTCTCCATAAGGATCTGATAGTCCCCAAATCTGACCATGCACTTGTATGGCAGGGTCATTTTATTTAGGTAGCCCAGTTCCATGTTGTCCACAATCAGACTGGTCTTCTTACTCAGATTTTTTATTTCAAAAGAGAGAACTGAGCTATTGAAATCTTTAAACAGCTGCAAAGAAAACTGAACTCGAGAAACCTGTTTGTCTTGAAAGGTATAATGGCAGATGTTGGAATTTCGACCAAATTTCACCATTTGGCTGGAGGAGAGTTTCTCTCGGTTATAAAACCTTATCGTCTGAAATACACCACTTTGCAACTGGCCAGGATGGTAAAGAGTCATCTGGAGACAAGTTAATGTCTCTTCTGTTTCAGCATCTTCAAAACTGGACATGATGTGCAATGGAATCGGACCTACCTGCAACAATGAAATCATCATGTTAAATTCTCAATCAGGTAATTCACTCCCATACTTCAGGCACTGACATCTTTTGGCTCTAATATTTTGATGAAAATCTTCTGACAAGTGATTTATTTAGTCTTTAAAAATGCTTTCAACTACATAGTATAAATGTGAAGTTTTATAATGAGCCCTGGGCTGTGCAAATAGTTAAGTGCTTGACTATCAGCCTAAAGGTTGGCATTTCGAACTCAGCCAAGGCATCTCAGAAGAGAGGCCTGGTGATCACTTCCGAAAGGTCATAGACTTGGAAACCCTGTGGGATTTTTCTATTCTGCATATATGGGGTCATTATGAGTCAGCACTGACTCAATTACAACTAACTCCTGTAATTACCATTTTGATATCTTTTTATACTTCATTTCTAGTTTGACTTTTTAAAGCACACATACAATCTGGGCAAAAACAAGGAATGACTGTTGAAGAGTTAAAGATGTTATAATAAAGTGATTTTGGGAAGCAAAAAAAAAAACTTCAGTTCCTTTCTCAAATAAAGAGAATGGGGACTGGAAAACGTATGACAGCTGTTTTCTAAATAGAAAATAAGGAAGAAAAAAATCCCCTTTGGTTTGAATGCCCTCACAAGATATACACAAAAAGAAAACCTACAGTTTATTAACTGTATTAGAATTAGATGTATTATGAATTGCGAAACCTGATTTCAAAATGTTAAAAATTATAAACAAATAATTGTAAAACTTATCCTTTATATCATCATTATATTTCTATTAGGTACATGACTAATATGGTAGATTATTTAAATGATTATTTTATTTCATAATGATAAAATACAGACATTATATAGATAGTTATATATAATATTATCCATGAGATAATTCTAAGTATCAAAGTCTGCAATAGAGCTGGAATGCTTTATTTAAAAAAAGGGAAGACCTTCAATGAGATGGACTGACAGTGGCTACAATGATGGGATCAAGTGCAGCAGGGATTGTGAGGAAGTGCAGGATCGGGTAAAGTTTTGTTCCATTGTACACAGGGTCACTATGAGTCAGAGCCAACTCAATGGCACATAACAACAATAACCTGGTTCCTAATGGTTGACTAGACATACAGTCATTAACCACAATTAGTGTAATCTAACTGCTATCTTTCTACAGCAGATGTAGATCTGTGCTGCCTTCCACCAACACCTATGAGTCAGATTGGCAGTAAATTTGGTTTGAATGAGTGTCTTACTATCAGTTCTCAGGGTATGGCGCATGTTTGGATGAATTTCAAAGCAGAGGTCACAATTATGACTCTTCAATAAACACTGAGGTAGACTGTACTACAGTCCACATATTTGGTGACCCTCCCTACCAGGTCTATCATAACTGGTTCTATCCCTTTAGGAAAATTACAGTTTCTACTCCATTGATAACCATATTGGTGAAATGTGAATGGAAGTGAATGGAAGTAATCCATGCAGAGACAGATTACCCAATAAGCAAGGTAAGTTCAAATGTGAAACATGGGCTTCACCACATCTTCACCACATCTTGTGAAATTGTTCACTACAGGTTAGTAAGTAAGCACAAGTACACCCATGCTTATCTTGCTTACTTGGTACTTCATCCTTGTCAGGGATTGTGAATTTGAAGGAAAAAAAAAGGCTTTGATTCTGTGTGAAGATTCTACAGGGTTGGCAGAGAAAAAGATGTCAGCCATGCCTAGAAGCAGAATCTTGGATGTGGTGAAAAAATGTGAAATTGTTCACTACAGATTTGTAAGTAAGCACAAGAAAGTCTGTGCTTACCTTGCTTATTGGTTTATGCGACACTGTATGTGTCTCACTTCTAAGCAGAAGCTTTAAAGGCCACCGTATTATTCCACTATCTGTCTTTCCATCTGCCACAACATTAGCAATCGCCAAAATGCTTTCAGCCTGAGTCCCAGAGGAAAGGGCTGAAAGCAAACTACAAAGAACATGTAACATGAGCATGTTCTTGCTGTGAGTCGTGAGATTTTTGAGGACATGTGCTATTGCACCATAACTGAGCCTGAGCTGATGAATGCATCTGCCTATCTTATGAATGTATGAAACAGCAGACCTGACACTAAAACAGGCTACTACATAATACATGCCTTTCATGTGTGAGACACAGTGATCAGTCCTTCATACTTATTGTTTTATCTAATCTTCACAACAATCCTGTGGATCACCACTTAATGGATGAGGGAGCTGAATCTCAAAAGGTTTAAATAACTAGCCCCAGTCACAAATCCACTCCCAAAGTCAGGATTCCAATACAGCTCCAACAGCCTACAAACACTCTTTACCACTGCAAACACTGCCTCCCTGGCTCACAAACTTTAGCAGTTAACCAGTAAAGAAAGGGGCCACAGATGTGTGTGTTGCTAGAATTAGAAAGACATCAACTTAGGCTCTAGTGTCGGGGAGAAAAAGTTCCCATTAGTGTTGCCTATCATAAGACGAGGCTCTAGAGCACCAATTTACTTTGAATATTAGTTATTCTTAAGCCTAGGTATATAAATACTACCATAGACTGTTGTTATTGTTGTTATTAGGTCCCTTTGGGTCATTTCCAACTCATACCGACCCCATGCACAGCAGAACAAAACACTGCCCAATCCCACACGAGCTCCAAGATCCTTTCTACACTGGAGCCCATCGTCACAGCCACTGTGTTAATCCATCTGGTTGAAGGCCTTCCCTTCTTTCATCGACCCTCCACATTACCAAGCATGACATCCTTCTCCAGAGAATGGTCCCTTCTGACAACATGACCAAAGTAGGTAAGACAAAGTATGGCCATTCTCATTTCCAAGGAGCATTTCAGCTGCACTTCCTCCAGGGCAGATCTGTTAGTTCTTTTAACAGTCCATGGTACTTTCAGTGTTCTTCACCAGCACCACAACTCAAAAGCATCAACTCTTCTTCGGTCTTCCTTATTCATTGTCCATATCTCACATGCACATGAGGCGATTGAAAATATCATGGCTTGTGTCATGCGCACCTTAGTCCTCAAGGAGACATCCTTGCTCCTCAGCACTTGAAACAGTTCCTTTGCAGCTGACTTGCCCAGTGCTATACATCATCTAGGAGCTCTGGTAGCATAGTGCCTAAGGCACTTGACTGCTAACCAGAAGGCTGGCGGTTCAAACCCACCAGCCACTCCTCGGAAGGAAGGTTGGGCATTCCTACTTCCATAGTGATATTGCCTCGGAAACCCAAGGAGGGGTCGCTATGAGTCGGGGCCAACTCGATGGCAAATAACAACAACAACAACATACATCATCTAATGTCCTGACTGCTGCTTCCATTGGCATCAATTGTAGAACCAAGCAATGTGAATTCTTTGACAACCTCAATATTTTCTCCATTTATGGTGATGCTGCTCATTGGTCCAGTTGTGAGGATTTTTGTTTTCTTTATATTGAGATGTAATCCATACTGCAAACTGTATGTGCCTTCAATCAGTAAGTGCCTCAAGTCTTCTTCACTTTCAGCAAGCAAAGTTGTGTCATCAGCATATCGCAGGTTGTTAATGACTCTTCCTCCAATCCTGATGGCATGTTTTTCTTCATATAGTCCAGCTTCTCGGATTACTTGCTCAGCATATAGATTGAATTAAGTATGGGAAAAGGATTCAACCCTGACACACTCCCTTCTTGGTTTTAAACCATGCAGTGTCCCCTTGTTCTGTTCGAATAACGGCCTCCTGGTCAAGGTACAGATTCCTCATGAGTACAATCAAGTGTTCAGGAATTCCCATTCTTCTCATGATTTGTCATGATCCACATAATCAAAATGCCTTTGCATAGTAATAAAACACAAGTAAACATCTTTCTGATATTCTTTGTCATGAACCAAGACCCATCTGAGAGCAGCTATGATATCCCTTGCTCCAAATCCTCTTCGGAATCCAGCATGCACCTCTGGAAGTTCTCTGTCAATATACTGCTGCAACCATTTTTGAATTATCTTCAATAAGAACTTACTTGCATGCGAAATTGATATTGTTCGATAATTTCCACATTCTGTGGGATCACATTCTTTGTAAAGGGTACAAATATGGATCTCTTCCAGTCAGCTGGCCAGGTAGCTGTCTTCCAAATCTCTTGGCATAACCGAGTGAGTGCCTCCAGTGGGGCATCTATTTGTTGAAATATCTCAGTGAGTATTCTGTCAATTCCTGGAGGCTTGTTCTCCAATTCCTTCATTGCAGCTTCGACTTCCTCCTTCAATACCATTGGTTCTAGATCATATGCCACCTCCTGAAATGGGTGAAGATTGACCAGTTCTTTTTGGTATAATGACTCTGTGTATTCTTTCCATCTTCTTTTGATGTTTCCTGCACCATTCAAAATTCTGCTCATTGCCCATAGACTCTTTCAATATTGCAACTTGAGGCTTAAATATTTTCTTCATCTCTTTCAGCTTGAGAAATGCTGAGCGTGTTCTTCCCTTTTGGTTTTCTAACTCCAAGTCTTTGCACATTTCATTATAGTAATTGGCTTTGTCTGCTTGAGCTGCTCTTTGAAATCTTCTGTTCAGCTCTTTTATCTTGTCATTTCTTCCATTTTCTTTAGCTACTCTTCACTCAAGAGCAAGTTTC